CCACGGGTGAAAGGGCGAGCATGTTTGGTGGGACGGGGATGCGAACCCGCGACCCGCAGATTGCAAGTCGAGCGTCCTAACCACCTGTCCATGCTGGGCCTCTTGTCATATGAAATTATATAATCATCTTATCCAAAATGGAACAAAGTATGTATAAAATGATGGAATTTTAATTTTGAAACTTGGTTTGGTTGGTTTATTTATGTCAAAGCTACTTAGGCTATCTGTCGCCGTCCCTAATTTGGATTTGTTGATTAGAAGGAAGGCATCTGCCCAGCAGCACCCACCGCCAAGTTTTGACCTACTCTTTACCAACGAATAGTGGGGTTGACTGTCGCATTTATGACGCATCCAAGAACGAGCATGTTTGGCGCCAGGATGCGATCCCTCAACCCACAGACTGGGAGTCGAGCACCGTAAACATCACACCCTGTTAGGCCTAATCATCAACTGATCCTTAATATCTCAACACAGCATTATGAACATTGTCCTCCCGAAGAAGTAAGGCAGTAGTAATCCATAAAGTAATTCTAGCCCTATCATGTCTTCGCTGACAAGAAATCTAATAAAACAAAATAAACACTCGTTTAGCTCATATCAGTCTTCGCCCCCCCCCCAGTAACACAGCGGCATGTCTGCGGGCTTACAACGCTAGAAACAAGGTTTCGATCCCCGTGGTGGGCAGAGCACAGGTAGCTCCTTGTGTAGCTTTGTGCTTAGCTTCCAACAAACAAACATATCAGTTTTCAAAAGTCTTCTGACAACTTCCCCTTATTGTCCGAGTTTTGGCTTAAGTCACATCGCAATACATATTTTACGTTATAAATATATTTACGATAACTTCAGAAGATGAGCACATTTGTCCTTAAGTTATCATCAAAACAAAGAATTCGAAAGTTTTAATTTATCGCTCACGAATTATCTGTATCGATGTTGACTAAGTTCATTGCTGCCTTTACGTTCTCATTGGTTGTTTTGAAAATTCGCGCGGAGATACACGTGGGCTATCTGCGCCGACTATCCCCTAATTTTCAGCTGATTGATTAGATGGAAGACAGTTAGTCAACAACACCCACCGCTAAATCTCTTGGGCTTCTCTAATCGAAGCCCCCCCCCCCACACACACACAAACGAAAGTTTTCGACGGCAACGTGATGTGAGTCAT